ATATATATATATATATATATATATATATATATATATATTTAACACACACACACACTGTATACTTCTATATTGTCTCATTTTCAGCCTGTAACAGTGTAAAATTAAGTGATTTGGACTTTAAAAGTGTTATTATTTAAAACAGAATAAGCAGATAATGTTCTTGCTGTGGTAGTATTGTCACGCCCTTGTACTTCCCCTGTGTTCCTATGTCTTGTGGTTTTGATCCCCATGTGCTCCCCATTATTAAGTTTCTCCCTTGTCTTTTGATTTCAGGCGTTCCATGGTTTTTGATTAATTACTCCACGCGTTTCAGTTCTCCCTGATTACATTCCCTGTGTTTATAAGCCCAGTGTTTCCTGTGTCCAGCGCCTTGTGTTAAATGTCCTTAGGTTTCTGTACTACGTGTGTGTTAATAAATTATGTTATTTCTATATTCTTCGTATCCGACACAGTAGCAGCAGCAGCAGCAGCATCGTGACAAGTATATTTCTAAATTTAGGACAAGTCTTCACACAGAGCACCTACCAACCCACCAACACCAGCACACATACTCACAGATGCTTTAATTAGTATTTTTTCACTTTGTGACTGTTTAGAGTGCAGCTCAGAAAGGACATGAGGAATTTCATAAATTTTTCAACATTACAAGCTTTGCCCTGTGCCCCTGCTCTAGGGCTGTTTGTGTACATGTGTACACTGTAATGAAGAAATATCTTATGGCTAAGGACACCAAGTATTGGCTTAAAAAAAAAGTGATGGTGCAGTATGCAGTCATCAAATGCATTTTGTAATTTGATCCAGTGCCACCACCTGGAACTAGACCAGGTGTTGCTGATGTTATTAACCTTCATTATCACCTGCTTATTTGACTAAATTAATGATTAATGAGATTAGTCTTCCAAATCAAGTCATTAAATGTAGCTCATTGATATTGATAACTAATCGCTTATAGTGTCAATGTGGATTGTGTATATTTATTCTGATATATGAGCCATGTTAATGTGTTAAACCGAATCATAATTGAATTTAATTTAATAATTTTCAGTTTAGTTAATTTTCAACTCAAGGCAACTGAATTTGTTCTTGTACTATTCATAATATTGCGGCACACATAATATGCATGTCGTTATGCATGTTGTAATGGTTTTACATATTTACACTTTTACTGAGTTTTCAAGATTTATGTTAAAGTTAAACTTGGCATGAAAATGAAACCACTTTTCACCAGCCAATCAATTTCTGATGGATCAAGTCCTGCCTTATTTATTTATTGCCTGTAAATATAAATACCCTGTTTCATTTGGAAATATGTCTTATGATAAGCACTTAATGTACTGTCCAAGTCTGAAGTCAAACAGAAAGATTGAAGATAAACGAAGCTAATGTTGACCTGTTTCTGTTTTGTTTTTCTTTGTCCTGCAGTTGGCTACATGGGATTCTGTCCATGGCCTGAATGGAAGTCTAAAGGAGAGCCGTATCGAGAATGGCATGCAGGGGGTTACGGTTAAAGTTGTGACGTTATTGGTAATACTTACTTTTATCATTTTAACATTTAAAATATTTATGTTATGTGGTGTGATGCATACATGTGTGAATAATTAATTTAAAGTTTTTGGGGTTTTTTCACGGTCAATAATTAAGTACTAGATATTCTTGTACTTATCAGAGGACAGAATCTGCAACCCTTAAACTCTGCAGATTTCAGTGGAATTGAAACGTCCCTCATTCACAAAGTTCTACACACCCCTAAGCACTTGCATGCTTGCATACAAATTATTTCAGCTTATGATCATGCCTACCATCGCAAATAAAAGTGTAGCACTCTCAGCTCTGTTTAAAACTGTCAAAATGTGTTAAATGTTATATTGTTTAAACTATACTCTATGTAATATAACTATATAATATAAACTATTCTCCATTTTTTTTAATGATTTTCATTAGACTTCATTTTACCGGCATGGGTGAGGGAAAAATTCAGCTTCTAATGTACTTATTCCTTATGATCTAATTGTAATAATTTTCCAAGACCAGTAAGCATCTACTACAGAAATAGTTCTCCAGGGAGCCATAGAAAGTCTTGAAGCAAGTTTTATTAACCATTTAATATTTGTTTGTACCTTTTGGTAATCAATATTCCTCTTTAAAGGAGGATCCATTTGTGATGGTGGCAGAGAACATCCTCGGACAACCCAAAAGATATAAAGGCTTCTCAATTGATGTCCTGGATGCCTTGGCCAAGATCCTAGGATTCAAGTATGATATCTACCAGGTGGCAGACAGCAAATATGGTTCTCAGCTCCCCAATGGCTCTTGGAATGGCATGATTGGGGAACTCATAAACAAGGCAAGTGCTCTAAACATCTTTGTATTTGCATGTCCAAAGCCATTAAAGTTACCCAACTAATACTTGCCTGTTGTTTTCTCAAATTATCCTGTTGAAAAGGTCACCAGCATATATTGTGTTTTGGATGCTGGTGTTAGTTTGTTCTGGGGATCGGCATGAATACTTTAGAAGTTATAGCAGTGATCAGTCAAGAAAACACTATGAGTGTGTTACTTGAACTTTTAATTCTGTGATTGGTTGCATTGGCATTTTGGCCAGTACCTTGCACTCTAAGAGGTTATTGTTGTGGAATGAACTGCAAAGTGCAATTTTCAAACCACTCTGCTTGGACTGTATATTACGGGTTCATACAGCTAGATTGGGCTCAACATTAAAATAAACAGAAAAAAAAGAGAGGTGAATCTGTCAGAAATGTTTATCTAATGTATTATATTATATTGACCAGCAATTAAAAAAAGCTGGCCCTTTTGCCAGGGCTGAAATCTTGTACACAGTAGCTATAATGTTGATGTCATACTAAAACTTTTTCCCCCTC